CCTCCCCCCTCCCTCCCCCATTCCTCCTCCTTCTCATCCTCCTCCTCCTTCTCCTCCTCCTCCTCGTCCTCCTCCTCCGCCCCCCCCTCCTCCGCCCAGTGCCGAAGCGCCCAACAAGAGAATGCTCACCATCGTGTCCAGCGGCTGGCCCATCCGCGCACCAGAGGTCCGTCTAGCCGTCCAGCCCAGGGGCACGCTGGCGTTTGGCCAGCGCCAGTACCCGGCGGGCCTCGGCAGGCCCCTCAGGTGCTGGAAGCACTTCGCCCGAGCAGGCCTTCCTGGCGCGCCCACGGCGGGATACACATGTGCATGTATACACACACACACACATGTGTATACTCATGTTTCTATACATGCGTACATCTATATGTACAACGCTTCATGTATATACCAACATCTATACCTACACGGCCACCCTGCGGGTGATAAGGAGGTTTGGGGGGGAGGGTCCCAGCAATGGGCAACAGTTGTGATTGTTGTTGTGACGATGCCAGTGGAGAGTGTTGCGTTGCCGCTCGCTCTTGGGAGCGTTACCAACATCATCAACATCATCGTCATCACCACCATCACCATCATCACCACCACCACCATCATCATCATGCACACTCTTATTCTCCAGCCTCTCGCGCCCTAGCAGTCTCTGCAGCTTCTCGGCCCGAGCTTGCCCCGCTTCGGCCCCCTCCGCCCCCCTCCGCGCCCGCGCGGCGGGGGGCGCCAGGGGCCTGCGCCGGCCCCCGCCGCTCAGGTCAACATCGTCCTCTTCGCGGTGGCGGCCGTCTTCTCGGACCACGCGTGGGCCGCCGCCCAAGGCGGTGGTCCACTCTCCCCCCTCGATCGCGGGTTTGCACGGGGTCCACTTTCCCGTCGATCCGCCCTCGTGTGGGGTGAGACCGACTGTCCCGTGCGACCGGTCGGCAGCATCACGGGGTTCTTTTCCCGTTCGGGTGCGTGCTGGCACGCGCTCCCTCTCTTGAGGTTTGACTCGCGCCATTCCTTCCCTGCAGGCCGCTTGCCTGCAGGCGGGACGCTCACGCGCTCGTCAGGCCACCTGTCCTACAGGCGCCTGTCGCCAATGGCTTCCTGGCCAACGGCTTTTGCGGCTGCACATCCAGTCTTCTGCGGTGCCGATCCGCCGACCTGGCGCCCCTCGACGGGTTCGACGCCTGCGCTGCCTCAAACCCCTCCTCCTTTCTCCTGCCATTCTTCCCCTTTTACCTTCGGGGTGGCGGAGTGGGGGACCCATGAGAGGACTGGAGGAGGACGAGGAGGAGCTTGCACGCCATGTGCTGCGAGACTCGAGCAGCCCGAGATCGCACGAGATCCGAGGGTCCCAGCCGCCGCGCATGCCTTGCCCGCCAGGGTGCACTCTTCTCCCGCTGGACTTGCGCACAGCTCCTTGAAAGCCGATGCAGCAGAATGGTGCGCAGCGAAGATAATCGCGCCCAGGAGGCAGGATCTGGAGGGGGACCTTCCTGCTAACCTCCCCCTCACTCCTTCTTCTTGCCTCTACACCGCCACCTGGCTCACCTATGCCGCTGGGCATGACGACCCATTCCTGGGCCCCGCCTGCTCCACCGTGGGCGGGGGGGCTTCAGTCGCGGGGCACACGGGCTGTGCCGCCGCTGCGGGTTCCCGGCCTTCGTCTAGAGGCATCGCCGCGGCCACTTCCGCCGACGTTTCTGCTCGGACCGCCGGAGGCGTTGACATTCGCGCACCTCCAGGTTTGGGCCCGTTGCCACCGGGGCTGGCGGTCAGGCAGACTGGGCCGCCTCCGGGCCTTGACGTTTCAGTCGGTGGGCCCGCGTCGTTCCCGCTGCTGCGGACCCCGCCCTCTCCTCCAGGTGGGCCGCCGGCCGTTGTTCCGCCGCCAAGCCTCGCTCATTCGGCGGTCGTCGCCAAGCTGCTTCGCGCGGAGCCTCATTCACCCCTAGCGGCGGACGCTGCGGTGTTCGACGGATCTGCAGGAGTAGGTATGCGCCCTGCCAGCGATGCTGTTGCGGCCCCGCAGGGAGGGGCTCGTACCGCTCCCTCAGCCGCCACCGCAGTCTACGCCTGCCTGCCCCCTCCAGGGTTGGAGCCGCCGAGGCCAGCACCGACGCCAGCACGAATGCCCGCACTGACGGCGGCGGCACCGACACCTGCGCTCACGCTGACACCAGCGCCAGCGCATACGCCCGCACCGAGGCCAGCACCGACGCCAGCACTGACGGCGGCAGCATCGACGCCTGCGCTTACGCCAGCACCAGCGCCAGCGCCTCCGCCCGCACCGAGGCCAGCATCGACGCCAGCAGTAACGCCAGCAATGACGGCGGCAGCACCGACGCCTGCGCTTAAGCCGGCACCAACGCCAGCGCCTCGGCCCGCTCCGAGGGCAGCGCCGACGCCAGCACTAACGCCAACACTGACGGCGACAGCACCGACGCCTGTGCCGACGCCAGCTTCAGCACCAGCGCTAGCACCGACGCCAGCCCTTACGCCAGCATTGACGGCGGCGGCACCG